GGGGGGGGGGGTTTAGGTGTTAGTACTCCAGTTGAAATATTTCAATCTCGCTCATATCTGCGCACATGGTGCAGTAAACTTGGAGAATGAGAAAAAAAAAACAAGAGCTCTGCATAAGTGAATTGGAAATGGTCCAATGGGATTTGGTCCTTCCAACTTCAAGGAAGGACAATTAGAAAAGCACTTTGCTACAGATTTGCTCGGTGAATTATTTGCGTGAACGTTTATGAGGGGAATTTCTTAGTTTTTTCCACTCACCTGCGCTATCTAGGGTGACACCATCCAATACACTCTATAGGAATAGAAAAGATTGGAAAGGGGCGGTCTGGGGGGAAAAAGGGCATAAGGTCGACATTTTACAACACTTGACAATCGAATATCGATTTACTCGTCGAGCCTTTCTTTTATCCCGCGTACTTGTTGCAACAGTCGTCTTACCGATTTCACTCAAAGGTGTTCGAGATCATGGATCGAAACATTCTGCATGATGGAAACTGCTTCAAGGATCTCTGTGTTGACCTCCTTTACATCGATCATAGAATCAGATAAAGTGGATGAAGTTCTCAGCTGTTTGTACTTTACTAAAGAGATGGCGAATTTTGCTGAAGAAATTCCCTCTACGTAGAGCATTTTTCGGGAAATCGAAGATGTAGTTCTCCTGCAGAGAGACTTCTATCCAAATGTCTTTGTCATAGACTCTCGAGCCCTCGGTGAATTTAAATATTTTCACACCACACTGTGCTTTATTCACAACAATCGAAACATAAATAATAGAGTGCGCACAATTGATGTCGTCTTTTCATCGGGAAATTATATTTTTGCTTCAGGAGAAATTTCTTGTGTTGTAGCCCTCAACCCTAATTCCTATTTACCTCGAAAAATTCTTCAGTCCTTGAGAATTTAATTTTTTTCACTCAAACAGATTTTTTGAAAATCAGTTTGAAAATTCCTAGAGAAATGTGACAGTGGAAAATTAAAAATTAATCATCAACTGCCTCTAGAAAATTTGACATTCACCAGGATAATTTTTCTCGTTATCGGAGTGATGAGAGGAAAATTCTCCTTTTTCTTTCGGGACAGTTCTGGCTATGACATTTGGAAAGCCCGGGAAAAAGCGATTTCTCCTACTCAAGTGGGAGTGGGAATCAATAATGGGTTCTACAAATTTTAAAAAATAGAGGAAACATTACGTATTATTACACTCGATTACATAAATATCCACTGCACAATGACTTCACAATGACTGCACAATGTTTCAACTGATGTGAGAAAACTGTATAATAATTCCTATCTCCATCGCCATATTGATTATTCCCAATTTTGAACAATTGCGGTTACGGTTATTGCTGTGCAGTCGATTAAATTTACAGTGGAGTCTAAATAATGTAGTTTTAAAATAAAACTCCCTTACTATAAAAAAATTAAATTTACACTGGCAACTTAAAAATTACTGTAAAAATTTAATAAAGTTGGAAAGGTAGGCGGAAAAAATATCCCTGGAAAAAATAGCCCACACACCCAAAACGTGTTAAAACCCACCCAATTTGATAGACCATAGGAAAATTAGAGTCCCTGAAAAAATAGACAACGAAAAAAATAATGAAATTAAAAAATAATTAAATTGAGCGAGTTTTAACACGTTTTGAATGTGTGGGATATTTTTTCCCTGTGATATTTTTTCCGGGATTCAGTTGGAAACTATTATAGCCAAAAATCACGTTCTAAATATTTTAAATGTTTTTCTGATAAATTATCGATTGAATTGCCGTGAAAAAATATAACGTTTTTGAATTTTGTCTCACTCACGAAGTTTCAAGGTGCAATAATTTTTATGCGTTTCTTCTCGTCCTGTGATTTGTCCGTAATTTCGAGAAAAAAACGCACGAGAATGTTTACACCACATATTATAATAGCAAAACGCTAGAACGTTATATTTATCCCATCATAAGTTCGCCAGGGAAATGCAAAAAAACATGAATTTCAGAGAAAAGGGCATAGAATATCCTTAACAAATGAAAATGCTTGAAATTTTTCTGGGAGAAAGTAGCGGGGAATTAGAAATTCGCTTTGCCAACATCATATCCCTTGAGTCTTGACGGAAACCAGTGCAGGAGCTGGTCTGTTTGTCCAAGTTCCACCTGAACTATCACATAATTTATGTGGGCGTGTAATACAGTCATCAGTAGCTTCGCTCATGCGTCGGAAGTACAAAGATCTCTATGCGGTTTTGATAGAGCACATTTGGCAAGTTACACAACATTTCGAAATCAATCATGCATGAATTCCCGAATAATGGTTGCGGCAAGCTCAATTTGAATGATAATTGACGGATTTTATTTTTGCAATCCATGAGTGAATCTGCATTTACTGAAGTGCATTTCCCTATTAGATTTTCAAAAGTCGCGCGCAAATATGTGTTAATTACTATGATATTATGAAATCTTTCGGATGACAGAACTTCAAGTCGACGCTCTGCTAATATTGATTTAAATCTATCGAGATATTATTTTTCCGTAGCTTTCGGATCGCACGAATGATTACAGTAGTTTCTGTGATTAATATGCCGAGAGAAAATAGAAGAGTAATTATAATAATTAATGATAAAACATTTTCAGGGAGGAATTGATGATGATCTTTTCATTATTCCCTGAAATTTCACATTTTTTAAAATTCAGGAATTTCTAGTAAAATCGGAGATTCCATTTATTTTCTAAATTGCACGACGATTTTCTTCGAAAATTTATCGCCACGTATTGAATAGATCTGAATAAAAAATGGATGGATGAAATAAGAAAGATGAAAGAACGGGAAAAAATGCAGGGTGGCGAGGGTTTTCTCCCTTCAATGAAAACTGATGATCAAACATGCGTTCAAACGGACATCGAACTCACCCCGAAATTACTAACACACCTCCAGGCTAAAGAGACAAATATCCCGAGATAGTGTGAAACTTCACCGAGGGAGTGACTAAAACTTTTGTTTAACCATATTTATTTATTTACGATGGAGCCATTTCCGCCTTCGCCATGAATTAAACGCTCCAGACATTTCCTGGACCACATTTTGCACCACCTCCAAAGGCCAACGATAAATTCCTATTCCCCCTATTTTTCCCCCCAACTTTATTCGTTTTATCTTTAAACTCCAGTTTATCCGATCCCATCCATGCGCCCACAGTTTTTCGCGTCTATTTTTTTTTTTCTCCACTTCAATGGCAAATACTTCCACCAGTTTATTGGGTTCGTTAGCGGCCACGTGTTCGTCAAATGTAATTGTCGGTGAACCACTGGGTGAATAAATAGTTAAATTATCTGTTATTCGTAGGTACATGGCCATCATGAGGCCACTTCACCATCACATGTCCCGGAGACGAACTGTGGCTGCATTAATTCTCATCTGGGTGGCTTCAGTCATTCTCGCTACTCCGTGTCTTCTTTACTCTACTACAATCACGAGAAGGTGATAATTACTATTTTATTATCAAAACAATTATATTTCCGCTATTAACTTCATTTCAAAATTAATACAATCTCAATAAACGAGTGTTATTATTATCACTATTAATTACAGTAATTAATAATTAATTACCAACTGTAGAAAGTGTCAAGTCATTCCAGGGAATACTCGAAATAAAATTACCCTCATAATTATTATCATTATTAATATTATTACTAAAGTGCAGGAATTTTTCAAAAATTCGTCCGTCATTGAGGGAAAATAAAATTGAATTCAGGGAAAATAAAATTTAATATGAAAAGATATTTATTTCATTTATTTATTTACTTAACTTATTTATTTATAATAATAATAATACTTTTTATTATATAAAAATCATTTATTAATTTCCTCTAAATCGTCTATTCAGTCCAAGACATCCCATTAAATCCATTCGGTCCATTTAAATCAAATAAATTATTTTTTTTTGGGGACGGGTGTTCCGGTCCGTCCATTAATTAAGTCCGATGCTAGTCAAATGGTAATTTAGCACCTGCATGAAGAGGTATCAATTTGACTGAATAGGAATGGAGAAGTCAAAGTAAATGGTGATTTGTTAATTCTGCTTGCAGATACTCCAACGGAAAATCGAGGATAGTCTGCTATGTCCTCTGGCCCGATGGTGATTACCTAAACAGCAGAAGTGAATATATGTAAGTTACCTTGTAATCATAGAGAAGTTAGAAGCACACCATATGAATGTCTAGTTCCGAGAATTAATCTCCCATTTGGGAGTTCCATTTTCCCCGAATGTACCACCAAAAATCTCAACACTAAACTCCAAAATTTGTAGGTTCCATTGCATCAGCTCAGAATATTGCATTGTAAAATTGTTCTGTGGGGGACTTGAATTCCTGGTGGATGAATACCGTGCGAACAAGTGGTGAGGGAAATTAGTAATGCTGGTTGACATGTGAATAGAATCAGCACATTCCGTTCTGGTGCACCGTCGGGAGTCATGAAAGTACTTCGACCTAATTAGGTGTACAATTTATAGTGAATGGTATGATTTCGAGGTATTGTCATTGACCTGCTGTAGCAAACAAGGAAAATCAATCAGAAACTGGTATTGACTTGCATTTATCTGGCAATTCAGGTCCCATCACGAGCTGAGAGACCACGTGGGGCACAATAGACTCTAAGCAAATAATCCACTGTGTGAAAATATTCAATTTCCACCGCATCTGAATACAAAGACAGAATATCTCAAAATAATATAGACAGAGTTCGAAAATATATCATCTATATTATCTGCGAGCAATTAAAATCCCATAAAAGTGTTAAATACCCAATTTTTTATATTTATACAGGTACTGAGTCGAATTTGTCAGAACGATTTTTTGATGTTCCAATGCTTTTGAAGTCAAAAGAATGGAATTGATTTATTGGAGATTTTTACGTGACACCTTTAAAGACGATGGCCAGGAGCAATTGAATCACCTCGAGTTAATTATTCTCATGTTTCTCTTTTCACATCTTTCTTGCAGATATAATCTGATATTCCTCGGGGTGACGTACCTCATCCCGATGACAGTCATGGCGGTTTGCTATACCTTGATGGGTCGCAAGTTATGGGGCTCCAAGTCCATAGGGGAACATACACAGCATCAAAAGGAATCCATGAAATCGAAACGCAAGGTACGTCCTGAGAACTGCAGCAAATTATTCATGCAAATGATCATTGCACGGTAATATTTAAAATTTTCAGTTGTAAGACTAGAAAAATTGCCGGCTAATTCCCGAATTTTAAAAAAAACTTCTGTCATCTGAATTTCCAGGAATGAAAGCCTCAACTTTTCAAAAATAATAAAATACATAAAATTAGTAATTATCAATTTAATAATTCTATAATCGTAATTTTAGGAATTTAATCAGCCATTGGAAATTCATGCCTGGATTTCTCTTGATTTTTTTGGGGAATCAAATGATCCGGAAATGAATCAATTATTCCGTGAGATCAGTGCAAAATCCAAAAATTTTGTGCAAATATTTTTCCCACGTATTTTTTAATAATAATCTTATGAATTACGCAATTCTCCATCACTTATGTGAATGGCAATCAATTGGGTAATACAATTTCCCCATCATTGACGTCCGCATTTTAGTAATCATCTCCACTGAATTTCCGATCAGACCACCAGCATCACTATTTGCATCGGAATTATTCAAAACTCGTCCCCTGTTATATCGTAGCTACATTTTTGACCCAACGAAAACTACTAAATTCACCTCCATTCCCCCAAGGGATACACATGATCTAATTTTACGGCCTCAGGTCGAGTGGACATAATTACAAAAAACTCATTCTGATAATGAAGCTAATTATTCACACTCAATAATTAACATTCGTCATTCATTCACCTCAGTATCCATCATAAATTGTTACTTTTAATTATATAAATACTCACACCAGCGAAATAATCGCGAATATAAAGATTCTGGATTGAAAGGAGTAATTTCTCCCGTATCCCAGGTAATTAAACATGAGCAATTAAATTCAATCTGTTTTCTGTTAATAATCGATTACCTAAGGAAGAATTTTCATCGTTAATTAACATTCAAAAAATATTTTCCACTTCAATAATCACAAAAAATCAATATAATATAACTAAACAATTAAATTATCTCATTAAAAGTATATTTATATATTTCTCCTTCCCAACCGGTAGGAAACTGTAAATTAATGTTAATCTATCAAAGGATTCGATTAACCTATTATTATTATTAATATTCAATTTTGGTTAAATTTTTCTCAGAGTGCCACAAAAAAATTCTAGGGATATTCAATATAATAATTATTAACTTTTGGTTTCAGGTGGTGAAAATGTTTATCATCGTCGTTCTGATATTCGGCGTGTGTTGGCTGCCATATCAAGGGTTTTTCATACTTCTGTATCACCAGCGTCGAATTGGTGGCACCAGTTACGTGCAGCACGTTTATCTGAGTTTCTACTGGTTGGCCATGGCAAACGCAATGGTCAATCCTCTTATATACTATTGGATGAACAACAGGTGAGTTCATTCTACTCAACATCAGCTGCATAGAGATCCTCTTGAAATACTGGCGTCCTATCGATTTCCTCATAAAGCTCTTTTTTCTACCCGACAAACTACTCCAGTGCTTCCCTTTTAAATTGAAAAGTAAACGATCCAGATGAAAAAAGAAGATGAACCGACAATCACCCGTGATGAGTAGACACTTGATTGTAATTGTGATTGAAGATAATCGATGAGAACTTTCACCGGGATTAATTGCGCTAGTAGTTGAAACTTATTTCAGTCCGACACTTGGCTGTTTGGTGAAAAAATTCTTTTTCTCTATGTAGATACCTTCAGAGAGGATCAAAAATATCTTAAAGGCTATATAACATTACCATAGGAGTTAAATTGTCAATCCAATTATTGTTTAGTGTACAACGAATATTTTGTTAATGAATTGAAAACTTTAATCGTATGGTAATGTAGCATGGCCTCTTGCAGAAAATGAATTTCAATTTTTCAAGAAACCGTGGACAATTCGACGGACATCAATCATTTTAGAGGAGAGAGTACGCAAAGAGTTTATTTAATTTAAAATCAAGGTGAAAAGTTGGTGGTGTTGAAGTTCCTGAGGGGTCCCTGGGGAATAAAGTTTGTAAAGAAATGCGGGAGGATATCTGCGTCACGAAGGATTCATAGAATTGGCTGGTTGCTACTTACTCAATATCTCAGAGTCCAGTGACTCAAACCCAACATTTCGAAAGCACTCGAGAAGTCTTTCCGATAGTAGAACGGCTGGGAAAATTTTCCGCTGACGAAAATCCATCGAGATAACCCAGTAGAAATACTCTCTTTACCGACGATTTAACTTTAGGTCAATTCAGCATTAAAAAACAAATTCTCTATTGCCTTCATTCCTAAATCAGTGATTGCAATGAAAATTTTAAATATTTACTCACCATTTTTCCTCACTATCTATTCCCCACTCGCTATTCTCAATTATCTATTCAATAAAAATAATTCAATTCAATTAAGAAAAATGATTTGTTATTAATGCAATAGCATAGAGGTATTTAAATACGAATTAATCATCATGACCGAAATAATTGAAGACTTCGCGTTTGGTGGAGACAATTTTTTGATTGTCAAACGAAATTACTAGAAATATCAAACGCAATTGAGATTTGTCAATCGAGATTTATTGGAAAATGTACAACTGGAGAGGTGTGTTAATGAAAAATTTTGCAATGTTTTCGGGTTAATGAAAAATTTTGCAATGTTTTCGTGTTAATGAAAAATTTTGCAATGTTTTCGTGTTAATGAAAAATTTTGCAATGTTTTCGTGTTAATGAAAAATTTTGCAATGTTTTCGCAGATTTCGAGTGTACTTCCAGCAAATTATCTGTAGATGCTGCATGATAGGTCGCTCGAATACAAGAACACGTCAAATGCACGAATTGACAGGATTTCGACGCTCTGACACAGCCCGTTCGCAATCTGGTGAGTCCATACTCATTATTAATTACTCCAAATCTCTCCTGATTATAAATTCCCACGCCTCCCAAAAACTTAAATTTATTATTCACCATTATTCATGATCCACATATTTTTCGTTCTACTCAACGTGAAGAGAAATGCACTTCAAATACTAACTAGACAATTTACAAATAAAAATCAACATTCAATACCAAATTCGAGGGAAATTGCGGGGAATCCGCAACTCAAAAACACATTTCCGAATTTTTTTTTATTTTTTATCAATTTTTGCGGTTGACGCTCTATATAACTAAAATGATACACAAAATGATACTGCAACGGAAAACATCACAATGAAAATAACACAGCTCCGAAAATAACACACGCGTAGACCACCAAATCAATATCCAAGTAAACAAATAAAAGACTTGGCAACACAGAATTCCACAAACCAAATCAGAGACAAAATAAAAGATGAAGATAAAATGTCCGAAATAAAGAAGCTTTCGAATGACGACATTTTGAGTTTGTGATATTTCTATCAATGATATATTGACGGTATAATATCATTACCAACAATATTTTTAATGATAATATCAATCCTAATATTGTGATGCATTATCTTTATGTTGTATTATCCATGCAAAATTCATTTTATAATTGATTTTATTTCATAATCTCAATTGTTGCTATAGTCTCTCGTAGACAATTTTTCCGTAGATTCTCGATGAAAAAGCCCGGTATCATGGCGACGTGAGATAAAGGCTGAATAAACGAACGTATTATTTTGGTTTACTCTCCCAAAAGTTTACCCAGCAATCAACATTTGCCCGATAGTACGATTTTTACGGTTGAGCCCCTCAGGTGTACCGACACAGCAATATTTGCATTTGCATTCTAGTGATGTTGGGTGAGATTAGCACTCGGTCTCCAGTTAAACTGGAGTTGAATAAAATTCCACTTGGCAGTCACACAGGGATAAAATTTTGGATGAAAAGCAAAAAATAAAAAACAGCTCAATGGTTATTTCTCTTATGTAAATTTTATTGGCAGAGTGTTTACAGTGAAGAATATGTTTTTATGGAAATTGAAATGAAGTGAGTGGACAGAAAATTGGCGCTGTGGAAAATGGAAAATCCGGATGGTGACCAACCGAGCTTAACTTCATTGTTGCAAGTGACGGTGAATCTCGGGGGAATAAACTCTTCGGTTGAGCTATTTCTATGGGGATTATTTCAAGTCCCGCCTCACCGAATCCACCCAGAATTTCAAATCACACTCATTGGCGGTACATTGAATTAATGGTTGCGTATTCATTTCAGGGCGATTCAGGACAACGTCAATACGGTGGCGTCATAGCACTGGGGAGAGTCATGTTCAGACATTCAGGATGAATTCACGGTCAATTTGTGAGAAGATTAACTCTGGCAGACAAGATTTCACTATTATTTGAATTTATCCCCAACTCTGGTCGAAATATTCATCAGAAGAAATATTTCATGAGTTATTGCAGAGACCTTCTCATTTTTCAATGTTTTTTACAAGTTTCTGGGAAGTACTTGGTCAAATTGACGAGAATAAAATTTACCGGTTTAAGTTCTCGTATTGTTTGGTCTTCATGAAGTTTTTAATCTAGTTCAATAATATGCGCTTTAAGGCACACGTCGTTTTCACTCACTATCCCATTTTATGCTACCCTATTATTGAGAGCTCCATTAGAGCTATAATGAGTAATTTAAAAATAAGGGGAAAAAGTTTTAATCAAGACGACACGGGAGAAATGTCGATGTATGAGAAAATTTTCTGCCAAGGGAATTTTGCAGTCCTTTTTGTAGATGTTATTAACACGTTTCTGGTCGTTTAATTTCTCACGGACAATGAAAAATGGAGGCCAGAAGGAAAACTAATGTACAAATTTTTCAGCGAAGCTCATTCAAGTTTTTTTTCCCTGTTTCAATACAATTTGAATATGGGAATATATTAACAAAAAATGGAGGATACTATATCTTTAAAACTTTTTAAATGTATTGTTGATTCTGAAATTCACAAAGTAATGAATTTCGATAATCGGTGAATTACGAGCACCAGTTGATTGTCATGTATACATTATGTGTAAAATTTTCATGTGATAATAAATAACGAGTTGTTTGGATCAATTACCAGTTTTTTAAAATCTAATATTTTTTTTTTCTTACTCTTTACAACTTATTCCAACTTTAGCGACATTAATTCTCCGGGTTCGAGTCAAGAGATTTTCTCGTTGCATTGTGACATCCACCAACAAGTCCCATATTCCATGTCTGAAACCACTATTGCTCCAAGTGACCCGGAAATACTGCCTCGAAAAGTCTAGACATTATTCACAGCATGAAATTCAAAGGAACTTTTGAATTGCTCTCGTTATCAAAGTTTCAACCTCTGATACAGATAAATTTTCCAAACACTAACGCCCGCACACTCGAAATGAAGAAAAGACTTTTGAGAATCTTTCTCATTTTTCCTAATAGATCCATTTTTCAAATTAAAAAGTTAATCCACTTTACCATTTCCAAGAGAAAATCATCTCTTGATTATAGGGGAAAATGCGGGTAAAATGGGATGAATCAAGAGGTTCAATGAAAAACGAAGAAAAAAATCGATCGTAAAAATTAATTATTCAACATTTGAGTTTTTCTAGAATTTTATTACACTTGACTGATAAAAAAGTGTTAAATTCCCCTACAGGAATTTCACAATCAGAAGCACAAAATGAGCATTGGAAGTCAGATAGCGCATTTTTTTGGGACTATTAAAAAATTGAAAAGTAAGAACACAACGGTGTAATTAGAAATGAAATTAAATTTGCAAAAAAATACTCGGGCACTTTTAGACAGTCTCCAAAATTTTATCACGAAACAAAAATCACTGGTGATGATTTAAAAGTTGCTAGTTCCAGTGAATTAGAATTTTAATTACAATATATAATTATATTTTTGTGGAATTCACAATGAGATTTGTGAGAAAATTACAATTTTCGTGATCTATCATTGTAATTTTAACGATAAATTCGGTTTTTCTGCAGCCATCAGAAGAATAATAATGTTCAGTGCCAACATTAATTCCGAAGACCAATAAAAATCAGTCATCCGGTGGGTGAAAAAAATAAACTTTATGACGTGTTGATATTGACGAAGTATGGTTTACATTGAGTATTGAATGCTGAAACTGACGAGAATACTCCATCAACGTCAACACTCGCTTCTAGACCAGCGATTCACAGCATCCACTATCGAAGGCTACATCTCCCTTCCTAGGAATTAATTATTTTTCCACTATTTATCGTCATTGCGCAATGTGCAATGTGAGTAGGCAATTCAGTCGGATCTCAACAGTAAAAGGTATTGATCGGTAAATCAAATATCGAAATTAAATTCAGACACTGTTCCTGGGATTATTCAAATTAAAGAGAATTCGTGGACGATTGAGGGATGAACTGAGAATTCTGATGAAATCACAATGAATTCATTCCCCGGGAGTTTTGTTCCCTGGAAATCATTTCCCTTCGACAAGGAATGAGATTCATTAGGGAGACAGTTATTCGCTATATTCGCTAATGACGGAAATCCAGATATGTATTCATTAGTACACAATAGATCCGAAAAAACGTAGAGGTTTTCTTTGAGCGGTGTATCAAAGGAAATTTAAACTAAATGTATTAATTATAAAAGAATGAAAAAAAAATTGTGGAACATAAAAGCTGTTGAACTTTCCGAATCAGTTCTGATTCCTCAATTTATTGAATTGTCTTCACAATCGGTGCTCCTCAATATTTAATTCGTTAGAAAGGAAGAAAGTTTTTAAGGGTAGAAGATCCTCTCTGGAATCATCATGGAGAAATTTATTTTTAAATTAATCCCGAGTTTATGAAATAATTTTTTTTGTCTTTTTAGTACATAATCTTATATATTCACAGGAAAATTGCTCATGATAGAATCGTAAGAAATTCAATTCTTTTATCGACATCGCGTTGAAAATCGAAGGCATTTGATTAAAATATATTTCTGATCCGTCCACCCTCTCCAGAATGCCCCACCAGAGATTGCGAATGCATTCTGCAGCATCTTCGATCTCACAAATGAGAAGTCGGATTTTCAGTTGAAAGTTATAGAG